TGCTACTCCTGTCCTCTGAAGATGCCGGCCACAGAGACTGGCGAAACTTTAGGAAGAACAACCTTCAGAACATGGCCAAAGAACCCAAAAAAACCACAACAACCAAACTTAAAAAGTCCTGCCTGGCTCAGCGGGTGGGGCTCCACTTGTGCTGCCTTTCTGTGTTCCATGTGGGCTGAGTGTGCATGGCAGATTGCCTAGCAGCTGCCGTGGCAGCGGGAGGGGGTCAGGATTGTGCTCTGGCGCTGGTGGCAAGTAACAGAGGGTGGGCAGGTGGGAGTGGGGAAAGAAAGGGGAGGGGGGACTTACACCTCTCCCCCTCTCATCCAAAACTATAATATAAAATATGAAAAAGCCAGACATTTTAAAGGTTTTTATCTTTGCCTGCCGGATGGTGGACATTAGGCTAAAAAGGAGAACATGTCCTCCTTTTGCCGGATGTCTGGCAACCCCAACTGTGTAGGCATATGGCACTATTCTTATAGAAACCTGTTAAAGATAACTATAAATATACTCAGAGGCTCAAATGGGTGGAATTGCCATGCTATCTCCTGGAATTACTTCTAAATTTTATCCATCATTACATCCCTCAAACCAGATAGTTTAGAATGGTCCAAACTTTGACATATAACATCTCTAACACTTGTCTAGCTTTTAAGGACAGAAGATTTATTAATGAATTGGTTCTAGATGTGTATATGAACACAGAACATGTAAAACAAAAATGTTAGCAGTTCAAATGTGTAAGAATGTCAACATTCTGAAGAGTATTCACATTGTTCTACATTGAGTTGCTATTGTAGTTATTGTTGATATTTTTTTCCCCTGGTGATGTACAGGAACGAGTACCAGACAGCCCTTCCCCTGCTCCATCCCTTGAAGAAGGCCGAAGGCCTGGTAGTCATCCATCATCTCATCGTAGCAGTAGCGTATCCAGCTCACCTGCCCGAACTGAAAGTTCTTCAGACAGAATCCGTAGGTCACACTTTTCTTTTCACACTTTAAATGCATGAACTACAGTGTTGGAAACCAGTGTGCTATTGTCTTAAAAGCGCAGATGCATTATTTTTACTAACATTACATCACCCATCCTCAATATCAGATAGTATGAAACTGCTGTTTACGGAGCTGAACTAAACTGATGTCAGGGATGTGAATTACAGAAATAGCACTGCTTATTGTCAGAAAGCAGTTCATGCGCTATAAGCAGCAATGGTGTTGCCCTAGCACAATGTCTGTTGCCCTTGTAGTTACAGATTTTCAGAGTTAGAGGTTGCAAGTACAACTGCTTGCATAACCCCTTACCCAATAGTGAAATAAAAGGCAAATGTGCTAGTTGAGGTTTTCACTCCACAGTCATTGTTGGCTTTTAGGTCTATGAGATTTGTTTTAAAAATAATAAGCATTAAGAGGCTCAGGCTATTCAGATTGTGGCAATATAAACCAAAGAAAACCAATCAGCCACAGACGGCGTATGCTACCATGTGTTTGAAAATACCCTCCTTAAATGCCTCCTAGTGATAAAAACAACAGCAAAGAAAACAGGAGTGTATTTTGTCAAAACTTCATTAGTTTGTTTGAGGAATACATTCTGTAAGCCTGGGCTAGAACATTTTCCAAGAAAGCCAGACTTCAACAAAATTTTCTAAATTTGATCCGGTTGTATTTTGTCATGACCTTTGGGTAGCGGGAAGTAAACTCTGAAATAAAGAAATAATCTTAATTAAAAAGTCAAATTTTATTTAGCTCTGTTAATATCTAGTTGTGCATCTAAATTCAGTGTGACTTGGGGGGGGAATTAGGTTTAAAATGGTTATCTGGTAGAAGTCTTGGTTTCTTATTAAGGAAAATAATATTATTTCTGTTCATATATTTCACTTATTTATTTTTGGTTGATCAATATGAGGATTCCCCCCCCATCCTTAGCAATTTCAGATAAGACAAATTGAAAGTATAATGCCTTGTTATATGAAATTAAGTAACAATTTCAGTTGTATTTGTTCCAAAATCTGGAGAAAAAATCTTTGATTTTATTTTCTGTCTTGGGTCCTTTCTTAGGAGAAAGACAGAATAAAAATATTTTAAATAAATAAAAAATACTTTAAATAAAATAAATAAAATTCCACCTGCATGAAAATGAAATGTATGGTCTGTAGTATTCTAGTATTTTATCATAGGTATGTAAAGGCATTCCATGCCTGCTGTGTGTTTTTACTTTACTGTCATTTGACACAGCATAATGTACATTACAGACTTAAAAGGTAGTGCTTGGAACTAAGGCACAAGTCATGCATAGATGATGTACCACTTGCTTTGTTAATAATATGTGTGCCATCAAGTCAATTCTGACTTATGATGGCCCTTGCCGGGGTTTCCTCTGCATAAATTACTCAGAAGGAATTCACCAGCCCCTTCTTCTAGGAACACTCTGGCACTGTGCAGCTTGCCCATGGCAACAGAGGCTGTCTCTTCTCCTGGGAAGTGTAAGAGAGAATATAACTCCCAAATTATGGCTCCCCAGCCATGTACCCAACTCACTGAGCTTTCTAGCTAGGTCCCCCTGTTTTGTTACCACTTCTGAACAGATAGTGTTGAAAGCCGATACAAATGTTTTCTCAGCAGCCATATGGTATGGCTTGTTCACCAGGCAAAGGAGGATAGGACTTATATAAATGTGGGGGTATTTTGAGGTAAACATGTGCCACTAACAGTTTGTTTGCTAATCTCAGTTTAATTTTGTTTCAGCTGTGTTCCAATGCAAAATCGGAATCCTTCTTTACATTTTAGAAAACAACTGCATCTTTTATTTCAGTTGCTACTCCATGAATCTTCTAAGGCTGCTTTTATAATAATTGTAGGTTGCTATCCAAAAAGTTCCAGTGAGCCTTTGATATTCTGTAACACACCTCGAGTTTTAGCACATCACATATGCATGGCCAGATACTGGGGAGAGGAAGAGGGGCTTTACATAAAAATAATCAGAGATCATCTTGTTATTTATTTATTCATCTGTTACACTAACATCCTGCCTTTTCTGCTATGAGCTAAAGGTGCTACACATCTCTCTCCTCCCTTCCGCCCCATGTCATCCTCACATGAACCCTGAGAAGTAGGTTTGGCTAAGTGTGACTAGCCCCCACAGGGATCCAGTGAATTTCATGGCCAAATGGGCATTTCAGGCTAGGTTTCCCAAATCCAGGTCCAACACTGTAACAGATGTACAGTCGTGAAAACAGAAAACACACTCTTTGAATTCTATGGTTTTACACATCAGAACATAATAAAAGTGCTCGGGTTCTTAGCAGATCTGAAAATTAGATAAATACAACCTCAGGTGAACAGCAACACATATTACACTGTATTATGGTTTATTTTACAAAAATACATCCAAAATAGAGATGCCATGTGTGGAAAAACTAAGTACATCTTATAATTCAATAGCTTGTAGAACCACCTTTAGCAGCAATAGCTTGTTTTCTGTATGACTTTATCAGTCTCTCACATCGTTGTGGAGGAATTTTGGTCCACACTTCTTTACAGCTTGACTTCAGTTCATTGAGGTTTGCGGGCATTTGTTTATGCACAGCTGTCTGAAGTCCTGCCACAAAATTTCAATTGGGTTGAGGTCTGGACTTTGAGTGAGCCTTTGCAACACCTTGATTCTGTTCTTTTCCAGCCATACTATTGTAGATTTGCTGGTGTGCTTGGGATCATTGTCCTATTGCATGACCCAATTTCAGCCAAGCTTTAGCTGTTGGACAGATGGTCTCACATGTTGGGCAGATGGCCTCACTCCAGAATACTTTAGTATACAGAGGAGTTCATGGCCGACCCAATGACTGCAAGGTACCCAGGTCCTGTGACTGCAAAACAAGCCCAAAAATCACCTCTTCGCCACCGTGCTTGACAGTTGGTATGAGGTGTTTCTGCTGATATGGTTTTCACCAAACATGGCACTGTGTATAATGGCCAAACATAGCTCCACTTTTGACATTGTTCCAGAAGTCATGTGGTTTGTCCAGATGCAACTTTGTAAATCTAAGCTATGCTGTCAAGTTCTTTTTAGAAAGAAGAGGCTTTCTCCTTGCAACCTTTCCAAACAAAGCATACTTGTTTAGTATTTTTTTCTAATTGTACTGTCATGAACTTTAACATTCCACATACTAACTGAGGTCTGTAGAGTCTGAGATACTTTTTTTTCAGTTTCTCTCAGCATTGCATGGTCTAACCTTGGACTGAATTTGCTTGGACGTCCACTCCTGGGAAGATTGGCAACCGTCTTGAATGTTTCCACTTGTGAATAGTCTTCCTCACTGCAGAATAATGAATTTTAAATGGTTTAGAAATGGCTTGATAACTCTTTCCAGATTGATGAGCAGCAACAATTGCTTCTCTACGATCGTGACTGATGAGTTTCATCTTTGGCATTGTGTTAACACACAGCTGAATGTTCCAGACCAGCAAACTGCTAAAACTTTCATTTTTATAGAGGTGGTCACATTTGCTGATGATCAATTACTCAAGGGGTTTTGGTTAGCAGCACCTGACTGCTACTTAGCCTCTTAATTCCTGTGGAAGCAGTAAGGGTACACATAGTTTTTCCACACATGGTGTCTTCATTTTTGCTTTATTTTTGTTAAATAAATCCTGACACAGTGTAATATGTCATGTGTTGTTGTTCATCTGAACTTGTATTTACCTAATGTTCAGACATGTTAAGGACCATATGATTTTTATTATGTCCTCATGTGTAAAACCATAGAATTCAAAGAGGGTGTACTTTTTCACATAACTGTACATATCCTGTCATAAACCCTAGATGAAAGCATGCTGCTTATGTATCATCCCACAGTACTTAAAGCACTTTCTGGCCAGTTTTCAATTTAATAATGCAAG